AATTAGGCAAATTGTCCTCAAGTAGCTGCTCACTTTGTCAAGAGTCTGTCAATTTACTGGCAGTTTACCCGTCATATAAGTTATGTTTTTATAATGAGTATTATTATGATTGATTTCATTTGCCTTAGAATTTTCACTCTGCAGACTCGAGAAACAAGCTGGAGTAATTTGGAAGTGTGCTAAAATGGGTAAGGGAGAGTTAGAAAGTTAATGAGAATTGGACACCTTCCCTCTCATTGAGACAGATGCTCAATGAGAGGAGAGGTGTCAAGAGTCCAAAGTGATTACAAGCGGAGTTCAACAATGGTAGGTACTCTGGACCATCATAAAATTGAGTGCGGATAACGCGAAACTAATGATAACGATCGGAACATCTGGATGCAAAAGAGGGACACCGTTATCTCTCTAGGGAATTCGATGAGTACAGGAAGTCGGCGGCTTGTCATACATCTCCCTATTTGTCCTGATGATATACAAAAACTCTCATTAATGATCTGAGGGGACTGAGGAACTAGGAAATATTGATTGAAAGTAGACTTCATCACACGAGGAAAAAAGGATCAGAGGTGACATAATTTTATGTCACACACGTAATTTTATGTCACCTAAGTCACAGAGGTGACTTACACGATTCTAAGGAAAATAAGCCAAAATAACAACTTCAAACTATCTCAATACACCATTTGTATGTAAATAAAAGGGGGACGGAAGAAACATGTATGTAATACATTAGAATTTAAGTTAGCACAGGCATGCACGCATGCACGCACGCACGCACGCACGCACGCACGCACGCACGCAAGCACGCACACACACACACACACACACACACACACACACACACACACACACACACACACACACACACACACACACACACACACAAACTCACACACTCTAAATTTTGAAGCCAGGGTTGCTACAAAATATATTTCGACCAACTCTTGCGGGTACTTTGACCAGGAAGAAAGGATATTATTGCGACATACATCGACAGATTAAATAAGGAAGTAATGTTTAACATGTAATCTGCGAAGGGGAACAAGAGGTTACGGAAAAGCACAGATGTTGCGCAGGGTTGTAAGGAAACATTTATTTTGCTTTTTGTAAATAGGATAGATCTATAGCAGGAAATATTCGAGGCTGCCTTCATCTATAATTTTCACATTAGATATGCTCAGAATCTTAGTCAAAAACCCAGTAGCTGAAGTTCACGTCACTCGGTCGGTGAGGTGAAGCACGATTGGCGTTGGCCAGTAGCGAAATGGATGAACGATTGGACAGTCTCGCCCTTGGTTATATGGGACCTTCACAAGCCTTCCTTTCCATAACAATAGTATTAGGATGCACCAGCATCCAGCATTGTGTAAAGGAGGAAATGTATATGTTTATCTCTCAGAATGTTCGGTAATACGTTTATTGCTTGTGATGTGTGTCTATGTATGTATTAACACGATGTACTGAACGGGGTGAGAATAGCTTGAGCTACCTCATCCCTTTGTGTGTATTTTACCTCAATAAACTTATTTCAATTTCAATTAGCATCCACTTTTACAGGTTCGTTTGAAAACACAAACTTAAACACAGAAGCGCATGTACCTGTTGTTTCATATTCAGTTACACGTTATAATTAAATATGTATTATTCAGTAATTTAGTGACTTTTATTTAATTTCCAACTCCCCCTTAGCGTCTCCCACCCCTGGAAAAAAGTTATCTCTGAAATACAAGGCGGTATTATCTATCATTTTACCTTATAATATCCTGGTCAATAAATCAGAAGTAACATTGTACTCTCAATAACGAGTATGGCAATCATCCCAGCAGAGACCTGGCCATCAATAACGCACCGACCATCAATAACACACCTACTCGAGCAAGGAGAACAGTCAAATATCAATTTATCTTCCACCTCCCCCTTTTTTATTTATTTTTAATATCACACACACACACTTCCTGGCCTGAACTAGCATGACTTGGAAGCACTCTGAACTAACGTCGTCATTATTGCGTATTATTAGTACGGCTTTAGCTTGTTATTATTTTCATCTACATGGCAACCACATCCTTCTTGCCCCTCCAGTCATATATTTACTAGCAATTGGAGGAGGGGGAAATGACCTTTTATACCATCGCTAATTCTGATTGGTTTGAGAGAGGACTAAATAGTTCAGTAGATCGGTGTGACATAACCTATACTTTCAAGAAACCAGATGGACATATAATACTAGAGCCCGGATTAATAGGTAATTCAGACGTCCATATTTATACATAGTTCAGGAGACGAAACTTATGTATAACTCAGGAGACTGGATTGATGAATGTGTCTCTATCAGATTGCAGCCCGGTCTCCCCGCGGGCGTCCCCAACGTCAAGAAACTGTCGTACTAAAGTGCCTTATCCTAACCTACCAGAGAACCTCCGAACAGAAAACGGGACATTATGTCAATTTCACGAGCCGCTATCATTTTCTAGTACGATAGTTTTGGCCTTAGGTAAACTATACGTCAAAATGCAAGGTGCTATTAGGAGGACGGGTTGTAGGATGCCGGATCGATTCCAGTACTGTTTGCTCTTGCAATTTGTACTTTGTGTCCAGCCTCCTGTTGCCAGCAGCCAGCTTTATTGCTTTGCACTTGTTTTGTTAAGTTCTAGCATTCACTTGTTGTATCTTTATTTCAGTTTGTTAGCGTCATCGTGTAGTTTCTTGAAGTCTTTCTCCATATGTATCCTTGTGATATTTACGGCATCTGCAAACACTGAAAGTTGTATACAGTATTCCTTCTGGGGGGAGCAATTACATAGAGTAGTAGTAAGATAGGTCCTAGTACTGACCTCCATGTGACTCTTCAGGTAGCATCTCACCACTGTGAAGTCCATTTGCGCCTGAAGAGCTCCTTGGATTAATAAAAGTCTTCCACCGTTAGTCTACTATTATTGTGCTTTTCGTTATACATTATTATTAGTATTGGTGCGGAATACACAATAAATAATATATATATATATATATATATATATATATATATATATATATATATATATATATATACTGATACTCATATCAGTTATATATATATATATATATATATATATATATATATATATATATATATATATATATATATATATATATATATGCGCTTGAACATTCCAGGAGGTGTGGTTTGAACATATGTCTGTATTTTGCGAAGCGAGTATTGTACTACTGTAACATCATATCACGTTAGTAAGAAACTGTACATTTCAACTTGCACAAGACCTGGCTCGGGTGCATTTTGTTACATGGTAAATAATGTCATCTTATAAAAACCGAGCTTGTAAATTCATTTTTATTTGTTTTCAAAGCACAGGTTAGGCAAATATTTGATTAAGAATTAGCATAATTTGTAAATGCTGTGTAATGATCTGGGGAGGGTAAGCGGTCATTACAGCTGGATGAATGGAGGAAGTTGATAGTGTTAGCTCAAAAAATCACGAATGGAGATGCGAAGAGAATGAATGTCATGGGAATTATTTGCTACAATTATCAGTATGTATAGGTTGGAAGTAGTAACGGGAGAGGAGAATATACTCTTTATTTTTTTACCTTCAGCTTAGAGTGAACTAGCTTTCAAACACGGTGATAATAACCTAACTGTTTGTGATTCCAAAAACATCCACCTCTCAGTCAACCAACCGACCCCCTTCAAATAAATCACAATACAAAATTTACGGGAAAATATTACACTAACGCCGTGTTATGAATTAGACAGACAAACGTTTAGAACATTTTTCAATAGTATATAGAAGCTGCCTCGTAAGCGCCAATAGGCCGCCTGCAGTTTCTTATCTTTCTAAGTTTCCGTTTTGTTTTTTGATCTTGAGACATCTGAAAGCTCTAAGGGGCAGTTTGATCACTGTTAACCATATAATATTTATTAACATACCTATAACAAAACTAATTATAAAAAAATCTGAATTAAGACATGTGAAGGAAAACGTTGCACTTAATAATGTAAATAGGTAAGGATATAATAAATTATATAAGTCAATAAATATTTATAATACATTTATTTTAATAAAATGTTTGAGTTCGTGCTATCAATATTTAGTATGAGGAAGATCAAGACGTATTGTCACTGTTGATGAGTTTATTTTCTCCACCCAGAAATTAACCGCAGTAATACAAGACATTCTCACGTGAAAATTGTCAAGCACTGTTGACTCCTAATCACAAAATGATTACATGTGATATTAAATGCCATATTATCGACTGTACAAAATATCTCGCACACCCAACTCTCACAGCTAGATTACAAATTACCACCGGGTTGCAATCCTGCAAATTATAACTTACTCAAAGGCAGCCAAGTTATCGGTCCCAAACAGCTACGGACACCAACTGTTCCCATATGCTACAGGGTAATTAATGCTCTGGATACACTCTTGAATGTTAAACAGTGTTATTAATTTGTATGCCTTGTGAGAGATCGGTGGGGAAGGTTCCCTGATATAGAAGGTCGTGAGGGTATTTTTAATTGTCTGCTTAGGTCAGCACGCAGCCCAGGGAGGAGGGATGCAATCCATACGTACCTAAAAAAAAGTTAATTAACACTAAACAAAACTGGAGAAGGCAGGGGTTCCTGTTTATGTATACTCTTGCCTGCCGTGTTCTCATCTCATAAGGTCAACAGGAGCTACGGAACGAGTGGTTCTCTGCCTGTAACACGCGTCATTTAACTTAAAATTGTATAAGTACTGCAACTTATCTTGGCGGGACGTTACGTATACAGCTGCTCCTACTCATCCACTTTACACACTTTATCGCCCATGAAATTGAACACGAAAATCAAAAGCTAATCCCTTAATATGAATTAAAGCGGTTAAGCTGGGGGAGTGAACTACACCATTGATGCTTATGGATCAATTATTGGTGGTGGGTAAGCTATAGATAGCACTGATGTTTGGAACTGCAGCATTGATGTCGGTGGGTGATCTGCAGCACTGATCTTGGTGGGTGAACTATAGCACTGATCTTGGTGGGTGAACTGTAGCACTGATCTTGGTGGGTGAACTGTAGCACTGATCTTGGTGGGTGAACTGTAGCACTGATCTTAGTGGGTGAACTGTAGCACTGATCTTGGTGGGTGAACTGTAGCACTGATCTTGGTGGGTGAACTGTAGCACTGATCTTGGTGGGTGAACTGTAGCACTGATCTTGGTGGGTGAACTGTAGCACTGATCTTGGTGGGTGAACTGTAGCACTGATCTTGGTGGGTGAACTGTAGCACTGATCTTGGTGGGTGAACTGTAGCACTGATCTTGGTGGGTGAACTGTAGCACTGATCTTGGCGGGTGAACTGTAGCACTGATCCTGGCGGGTGAACTGTAGCACTGATCTTGGTGGGTGAACTGTAGCACTGATCTTAGTGGGTGAACTGTAGCACTGATCTTGGCGGGTGAACTGTAGCACTGATCTTGGTGGGTGAACTGTAGCACTGATCTTAGTGGGTGAACTGTAGCACTGATCTTGGCGGGTGAACTACTATCTGGCGTTGGGGATATTTTGTACTCTTCATTCATTCAAAATTCTGTCAGTCGGGAATTTCAAAGAATTATGAGACTAATAACATGACATTTGAACACGAGTTACAGGCCTTGTTGTTTAGGCTGTATTTACTTCTTAATTTGTCCGAGAGCATTTCAAGGAAGTGAAAAATAATGCGTGAAAGCTTTGATCATTTATATATACGCCTGGGAGTACCCATGGTGCAGGTTCGAATCCTCCGCATGGCTCCAATTAATATTCTCATTATTATTATTATTATTTCAAGACAAGGATGAAGATGTGACTTAATACAAGTATATACAAATATCAGGAAGCATGATATGGATGAATAAAATAACTATTATTCCCCAAACAAAACTTGCAGTAGATTAATGTTATTTAATTGCAGGGGGAATAATTTAAGCCCAACGAAGCGTATTGAGTTTTCCTTGAGCGCGTAGTAAGCAACTGGAACTTCTTACCAGAAAATGGCAGTTAAAGTATAGAGTAAATACATTTGAAAAATTCTTTGATGCATTTTGAGGTTCATTTGATAGGTATAAGTCTTTATTAAGAAAGTACTTTTAATTGTTTGGACGCAGTGGACTTTTCCTTTTTTTGGCCTTGTTTGTGTAATGGGTTTAGCTAGTAATGTTATCACCTTTATATCGTTTGTATTTTATCACCATTATATATCTTGTAGATTATCACCTATGTATATCTTGAATATTATTGTCTGTGTATTGATTATACTGTGTATTAAATATTGTATCTTGCATATTATTATTTAGCAAAAAACAAGGTTTGCATAGTATACATACGCTATGCACTCACACTTGTACGAAATTATGTATGAAATGTATGAAATTATTAAAACAATAGTCAATATAAACAATATTTAGAGGTTTCTCCCTCTAGTGAACAACACACTCGGACACTAACAATAACTTGGGGTTTTATTATTTACCAAAGCCGGCCAGGGTTGACGACCACGTCCTATCATGCCTGTTCGTCCTCATTCAACCCCACGTCCCTCGTCCGCTCCAGTCCATCATTGCTTATAAATCATCTCTCTTCTGATATAAAGGAATTGGATGACATTTATCTTGGTGTTGGGCTAAACTCTTGCAATATTTTTTTTACAGCAGTGCTATGAATTTGAGGTCTCACAATGTTGTTTTTTGATCATTATGGTTGCAGCAAATTCTACAACACAGGAGCTACAATACTGTGATTTTAGAGAATAGTTTAGCCTAATATAATGATGTATTTTTTTTAATTACTCTTATGCGAGGTTATTTGTTTGACAGTTGTATATGTAGTCAAAAGTTTAAGCTTGTATTGTGTCTTGTTTTGTTAGTAAGTTGAACTTACAACATAACAAATCATTTAGGTCTAAATTTATACCAACCTATCGTTCAAGTAGTTTAATCTTGCAATAAAACAGACTCAAAAATAACAATTGTTTGGGGTTTTAGAGAAATTTCTTGCAACTTAGATTGCATTTTTTTTTTTTAATCTGGAGAACAAATATTTTATGTTTTCGTGGTCGTGGGTTCGAGGCTTCGAACGAATTAAATGTTATTTCCTCGTTTATTGTTATTTGTAATTTGTATAATTTTTTTGTATTAATTTAATATAAATCCCATTCATATATAAATAATGCAACGAAAACGTCAAAATTACATGAGAGAAAATTTTGGAAAATATTAATAATTCAGGAAAATTCAGCTTATTAGGCAATTCTTGCCTATTAGGTACATTAATGTGGCGTATTCTGGATGATACGAGCCTCGAAATTGCTCTATTCATGATAAGAGGACCATAAGCCAGGTACTCGTTTGTGTCATCTCATATTAGGTAGAAAGTTGCTGAGGGAGGTAACGTGATGGGTGTACTCACCTAGTTGTACTTGCGGGGGTTGAGCTTTGGCTCTTTGGTCCCGCCTGAAGGTGTACATGTGTAACTTTGTAACATACATGCACTCCTGTTACTTCTATTCTGTGATGAAGAGGTTGGAGGTACTGCAAAGAATCGGATTATTATTTATTGTTAGTATTTTGGTTAGTATATTATTGTTTACTATTTGCAGTATTACATTTATTATCAGCATTGCATTTTATTGTAAATGTTTTTATGAAGAATAGTATTGCTGTTACTAATATTGTTAATATTACTATTATTTGTTTTTTTTCCGGGGTGGTGAGAGCTAAAGCTTCCAGTACATGTTTAAACCAGGTAAGCCCAGCGGATGAACGCTGTGTCATAGGTTCACATTCAGTACCCATAAAAAAAACATGAGTACACCTGGAATTCGCTCATATACTCAATACCAGTATTTGTGTCAAAAGCAATATTTTTTTATTTATTACTCTGAGCGACGACCGTAAATTTCGAACTGTAAGTTATTACTCATAATTGTCATATATGTAAGAGTATCAAATCCGCCATTATTCGCAAGCCTCTCTTTATCCTGTTAACTCATTTTCCTTTCTGGGTCGTCCAGGACACTCAAAAAATAATTATGTGAACCCGAGAGATCTCTCACCGCATTTGGTGTATGGTAGAAAGAAATAACCTTTAAACCTGGGAATGTAAAGTAATCTTTTCCCGCTAGCACAATTGTTTTGTATTATTCCCAGGATAATGTTTGTTTGATTATATGTGGTATGAGCCAATTGGAAGAAAATTTTCAATTGTTATAGCGAGCTTAAGCAAAGCAACAGGTGTCTTGGATTAGGAAAAAAAAAGTTATTGCTTGTGGTGCAACATGCCAATTTCTCGTGAGAAAACAGGTGTAAGGGACGTAGTGGTGCTTCTCATAATATGTCCTGGCAAACGAAGGTTTAAGAACCCCCAAATTTCAGCCCACTCTAAACCTCTAATGGTTACCATTAAAGCGTTTGAAAATATAGGTTTTGGGTGCAATTTTGTAAGAATATCAGATTTGGTTTAAATTATCCCTCATTATGGCATTGGAGTTCTGTAACTATTGAGAAGTTTCTTTGTACAAGTATCTGATAAATAATTTTTTTATTGTAATGAACATTAGAGTGATACGATTAGCAAGTGGTTGTAGTTAACGTATTAATATATATATATATATATATATATATATATATATATATATATATATATATATATATATATATATATATATATATATATATATATTAGTATATTTTGGTAGCAGTCTTTCCTGTAGACATATTTTATTAAATATGACCGAAAAAGTAAGATTAATAATTCTAACACGAATTTTCTCAATCTTTCGTACATTATGCTTCACTGTTGGAGGTAAATCAAAAATCACTTCTTCAAAATTCATTTTTATTTCTAGTCTGACGCGACACGGGCGCGTTTCGTAAAACTTATTACATTTTCAAAGACTTCACAAATACACAACTGATTAGAACTTGCGTTTCCCTGATTTTATATCTACATTTGAGTGAGGTGGGAAGGGTGATGTGGCATTACATTTGAGTGAGGTGGGAAGGATGATGTGGCATTAGAGGATATTAATAGGGTATTAAAAGTATCAACACAAGACAGAACACGAAACAATGGATATTGAATCAATGGATATTGACAAACACTTCTATTCAATATCCATTGTTTCGTGTTCTGTCTTGTGTTGATACTTTTAATACCCTATTAATATCCTCTAATGCCACATCATCCTTCCCACCTCACTCAAATGTAATGCCACATCACCCTTCCCACCTCACTCAAATGTAGATATAAAATCAGGGAAACGCAAGTTCTAATCAGTTGTGTATTTGTGAAGTCTTTGAAAATGTAATAAGTTTTACGAAACGCGCCCGTGTCGCGTCAGACTAGAAATAAAAATGAATTTTGGAGAAGTGATTTTTGATTTACCTCCAACAGTGAAGCATAATGTACGAAAGATTGAGAAAATTCGTGTTAGAATTATTAATCTTACTTTTTCGGTCATATTTAATAAAATATATATATATATATATATATATATATATATATATATATATATAATAAACCCAACACTTATCAACAAAACAGAATGCTGAAACACTCAGCACAACGTCGAGAGGAGCTAGATCTTCCTCAGCGACATCCCGCCGCTGAAGACACAGCTATTCTTACCAAGTCCAGCCATAATAACTGTAAAACGCTACAACGTTTAGGTACAGCTGTCGATAGGGGAGGGGGATTTTTAGCCCTACTCTAGAGAGTAAGTGCTGGCAAATATGTTAATTTTATGAGTAGGCTAACGCTTAAAAAATAAAAAAGTGTATCTGTGCCTGCATATGCTCTTCTGATGTTCCTTGATGTACTTTGGTGTATTGAACTGGATGTAATCGCACAAATAGGCTTACTGGATCGAGTGTCGGCGTTTAACGAAATATTAGTAGTTCAATGCTTCTCGTTTTATGTACAACTCTTAATCGATTCATAACAACGTTATGAATCTTTTGAATGTCTTGGTGACTCATTCGTGTTTCTAATTTTCATCTGCCTGCTCTTATTCCGCTGTTCCTGTACATTTGATCAACTTTAGTTCATTCACATCATGTCCCACCTGTTCCTTCTTTTTCCAGTGTGGTTCCGTCTGTCCTTCCTAGTAACTCAGTCTTCTTAGCTCAGGGACGAACCTTGTTTCATATATTTGACTTTTCTTAAATGCACCATGTTCTTGTTGCCAGGGGCATCATGTTCTTGTTGCCAGGGGCATCATGTTCTTGTTGTCAGGGGGGCACCATGTTCTTGTTGTCAGGGGCATCATGTTCTTGTTGTCAGGGGGGCACCATGTTCTTGTTGTCAGGGGCACCATGTTCTTGTTGTCAGGGGCATCATGTTCTTGTTGCCAGGGGGGCACCATGTTCTTGTTGCCAGGGGCATCTTGTTGTCAGGGGGCACCATGTTCTTGTTGTCAGGGGGGCATCATGTTCTTGTTGTCAGGGGGCACCATGTTCTTGTTGTCAGGGGGGCACCATGTTCTTGTTGCCAGGGGGGCACCATCAGGGCACCATGTTCTTGTTGCCAGGGGCACCATGTT